ACCACTACCCTCATTGTGGTCAATCTCTACGAACAACCACCTTCATCATCATAACTAGCACCACCACCAATTAGCACAAACATATCATCAACAACCATAGATTTTCAGCCACCACCAACTACTAACATCAACCAACTCACCATTAATTACAACCACTAACAACATTACCAATCCCCACCATTATGACAATCACCACACCACCAACAACCTCCATCGTCACAACTATCACCACCATCATTACTAGCAATTAACAACTACTATTACCATCACCACCACTACTACAAACTATCTACATCATCACTAGCAAGCATAAATATTTCAATTTTTATAATCAAATAATGATTTTATTTTATTATTTTTAAAAAAATATTTTATAAAATTTTATTTGAATTGTATATTTATTATGTATATTCAGATGTTGAAAAACAAACAGTCTTAATCATTTAGTGTTCAGATCTAGAGACAGCATTTTAATCATCATATATGTATTCGGATTCAGGCGTCTAAATCTTAGGGATGTTTGGCCACAAATATATTTGGAAAAAATTTAAAAACTAGTGCTTAGCCATATAATTTGCCATTAATTGACAAGTATATTTGGCAAACAAACCAAGTTCTCAAGTTTTAGAAAAAAACTAGAACTTGGGAATTTTTAAGAAATTAAAAATTACCCCAAATTTTTATATTTTATAAAACACCAATCATTTATAGTTTTGGACTAAATTTTATTCCTAGTTTGTTGTAAAAAAATCTATACAGTTATATATATATATATATATATATATATATATATATATATATTATACAAATTTTTATCCGAGCTTGCTCTTCGAATTCAATTCCAATTACAAGTAGTAACAGTAGTTTTTATATACAAATCAACGATATTTTCCTTTTATTTTCTTCCTTTTTTTCAAATTCATATTAATTATATTCGTTGTCATAACTTTTTAGTGAATGTTTTCATTATAAAGTGATAATACAAACTTATAAATATTTCAAATAATTTTTAGAACTTATGGATATAAATCATTTTTTTAAAAAGTCGAATATTTCTCCCAAAATCTATGGTCAAGCACATAGTAAAACTTCACTAAAAAATAACTTACTAAAAATATTTGAAAATTTATGGCCAAACACTAACTTAATGAATAAAATTATTAAAATTTTATTCATTAAGTTAGTGTTTGGCCATAAATTTTAAGAATTATAGGTATTTTCAGTTTACAAATAAAACTTATTTTAGATAAACAATTTACCACCAACAAATGATTTGCTATCCAAAATAAATATGACTTATATTTATTTTTTTTAAATATTAAATTATTTTAATCAATAACAATTTAAATTTATACTATTAAAAACATTTACAAGTATTTATTTTTCACTTAATGAGATGCTTTACTATCATACAAATATATATAGATAACTTATTTTTAAATAAATCTAGATATATTTAATTGACATAACTTAAAAGAATAACTTTGTGAATAAAGAGGAATTGAAACATGTATACAATCCTTAGATTAAATTGACATGTTTTAGCCAAATAAATATTTAGCAAATAAAACCTAAAAAAAATTGCATTTAATAGTCTTACGTGTATTCTGCACAAAAATAGGGGGGAAAAAAATCATATTCACACCCATCTCTCTCTCTCTTCAAATTATTTTTATTTAAAATATAAATATATTTAGTACAATCTCTATCTTCTAACTTCCAAGAGTTTCTCCTTAAAATTCGTAAAAATATTTAATTATGACTATTCTTGTTTCAAAGGATAATCCTACGAGTCTACCATCAATAGATTATTTTCCTCAATTGTTTGCTAGAAACTATGGTGAGAAACTCAATTCATAGTCACTTAATGTTTGCATTGTTATTCATGATATGTATTCATCTAATAGATATGTATACATTTATTTTGAATATATCCGTTTGTATTCATTAATAAATCGGTACACATTTGTATGTATTAGTGTCTTTCTAATTTTACATAGGTATACATTGATTTGTATTTATCTGTGCATCCAATCTGTATTCACCTTCTATTTTCATATATATATGTGTAGATTTGTTTAAATCAAGACTGATATTCATTGGTATACATTGATATGTATTCATCAAAATCATCATCTCGATTTTTTATGGGAATCTTAAGAAAACCTTTCTTACCCATGAAAATTGAAAAAAAAATTTAAAACCTTATAACCTAATCGCCCAAAAAAGTTTGAAAATAACTTCCACATATCACGAAATTTCACAATCAATTGGACAAAACGCTACAAGATTATATATGAAAGGGAATTTTTAGGAGAGAACAATTGATAAATATACCGTTATATTAGATTAGGAAACTTACACAAATCCCACTAGTTTAGGAGTTAATCACTTAGATACACTCTAGTTTGCAATATTACGTATCTTACTAGATTTTGGTGTGACACAAATACGTTCAAATACATGTATTTGGGATACATGAGGTAAAAATTGGGTGTAATTCGTTCTAGATGCATTGAATCCAAGTGGATTCACATGTATATGGGATACAAAACAAATTTCCACTGCCTCCCTCGCCTCTCTCCCATCTCGCTCGCCACTCACCTATGTATCTGGTATATATCTCAGATACACGTGAATCACACCAGATACGTACATATACATGTATCTAGTATGATTTACATGTATCTGGACACACAACAAATCTCGCTCGTCTCTCTCCCTATTTCATTATATCTGATAGTAAAAATATATGTATTTAAGTGTATCTTCCTCAATATATCGTAGAAAACTCTTAATTAGTGATAAGATAAGCAATATTTTTAATATATAAGTAATAATAGAATATTTGATAGTGAAACGTGTAATTATGTAGTTTTTCCTATTAGATTTGCATTAACAAAGGGGATTGAGGAGTGAAAAAGAAAATATAAGAGAGAAAGAGAATATGAAATACGTATAAAAAGAATTTAGAGAGATAAAAAAGGTAAAACTACACTTAATACAGTTGAAAAACAATAAGGAGAGAGGAAAAAAAAAGGAATAAAGAAAATATTTCTCAACGTGACTATTAAATGCTAAAATAAATATTTAAAAACCTTTTTTTGCCAAAAAAAAAAGGGTTATTTATTGCCAATTAAATCTAAGAAACTTACATAAATATGTTATATTAAGAAAATATTTACCATTTATGACAATGTCATATTTTTTTTTCACTTGGACACTTTTATAATACAATTTTAATACATATTACAGAGAATAGTTTATAAAATACATAAAATGCAAATTTTATTGATGAATAATATATTTATCACACATTTTAATACATTTATAATATATTGTGTCAATTTTTACCAAACAAACATAACATATTTTAAGACACTTATAGCTCATCCTTATTGCATGCATAATTCATTTTTAATACATAGTGCATATTTATCATAGTATTACTATGGATGATAATAACTAAAAAATATCCCTAAAATCAATAATTATTTATTAAAAAGTACTCACCAAGTAATCTTTCTTTATTTATCATGTTGTGCTAATTTTTCGTGAATAAATATTGAGTCCGTGCAAAGCATGTAGTCTTGCCACTAGAATATTTTAAGGAATCATTCATGTTGGTTTTAAATGTCTAACATCGTGACATCCCTTATATATCATAAAATCTCACTAAATTAATACTTCGTTAATTAATAATCTCTCAAAGATAATAATTTTCTCCAATTTCGACTTGCGCCAATGGAAAAAATCACTCATTTTGATAAGATAATAAGAAGACCCCTATATGAATATTTGGTCTCATTAATATTATAAATTAATAATTCTTTAAAAGTATAAATATATCTAAGAAAATCTAGTGAAATATGATTCTATTATGTTTTTTTTTTGTTAAAATTTAAATGTAGTTGAAGCTCATCTCTGACTTTTCTTATTGCATCCAAAAATTTCAGTGTTGTGTTTTCGAATTGCACCATAAAATTGTGAAGAGTTCTAGATGCAAGTGTTTCCTTACGCGTAACTGATTCCAAATGTATTGTATCATCTTCAACTTTATCATCAACATTGTTTTCCCAATAATATCCACAATTTGTTCTAAGCTCTGGACCTCTGAACATGTATCATTTTCACCCATCCACTAGGTTTTTAACGTCAATTTTATCACGGTAACCAAGATCATTAATCATGACCTCAAGTTCATAAATGTCGTTTTCACAAGTGGGTTCTTTTAAATTCTTTGAGATTTCATCCCTGAACAATTTTTTGGTGTCAAAACACTCTGTAAATTAATAATATTAATTTATCGATTAAAAAATACCTCTACAAAATAATAATATTTCATGGTCCCACCTATATTAATTTAGAGAGGTTTTACTGTACATAAAATTTGTTCAAAACTTTATTTCAATTTTTTTTTTGTAAAAGGTGCTACTCGAGGCTAAGTTTAGAGATGATAAAACTTGATAATATTTCAAAGCCGTTGAATCTAATTAATTATTATCGCATGGTACATTTTATAACAAAAATCCCAGTACGTTTGGAATAGAGTAAGATATGAGGGACAACTATGATTTCTAAGATATTAATTAAAAATTAAAGGTAAAAAATTTTATTGTTTGATTGTGTTGGTTAATTTGAACCTAATTTGAAATGGATTTTTGTATTAGATTGGATCATGAAAGGGCCTATCTATTTGGTTTGGATCAAAATTTGGTGTTGCAATTATAAAGCTTGTATATTTAGTAACAATAAAGATTAGGAGGCATTTTGACCCTTTTCCAAAATATATATGATAGACATTTAATCCTACTCAATCTTCAAAATTTCAATATTTACTCATTTGTCATTATTGCTGCTTCTTAGTTCTTTTACCCATAATAAATATCAAAATAAATATTTCTTGTTCCCATTTTACTAAATTGTCACACTACTGCTGCATATCTACTTACTTCATGCTGATGGCACATTTTCTAATCGGACCACCAGCCTTCAACCAATTCACACACAATAGAGCAATACTTGGATATCGATACATAGCAGCAGCTTTGAATCATGTTCCAGAATTTAGACGGGGCAAGGGGAAAAAAAGTAGCTCAGCTTGAAAAGACTAATACTAGAGAGCCATTACAAAAGTTTTGAGTACTAGGGAATTAGGTACAAACTCCGATATCTTAATGTAGTTGATACTCAGAACATCGAGGATGCCATTTCACCAACTTCTGATACAACTTGATCGTAATCTGTTTTCAGTTTCTCTTGATCATCCTGGCTAAGTTCTCCCTTGGCAGGCTTTGTTTGCACCAAAACACAGCAAGTTGGTCTCTTGGTGGCTCCAGCATTTGCAAGATCCTGAAACAGAGTTTGACGAGTTTTTACAATCATAACCACATAAAAACACCTAAAGTTTGTACCGAGCAAGGTGCATGACATACACAAAACAAAGCAGAAAGCATGCATCACAGTGCCTACCTTTGTATAGCAATCACAACATGACGACTGTTTCAAATTCTAGTAACACCACAACCTTATTATTGAGTTTAAATGGCCAACAAATCCTACTACTCTAGGAAAGAATGTACTACAAGTATAATGCTTCCCGACAAGAACTTGTGGAACCAGATGAGTTTACGATATAAAAGACGGGATATACAATCCTGATTTCTTTGACACAAGCACTATAATACAGGTTCAAAGCTCAAGGAAACTGCAAATAGTAACTAGCGAATGAACTGAAAAGAAAACGTATTTAAAAGAATACAAATTCAACTTACTTCTTTCGAGGACACGTAGATATACGGTATTTCAGCTTCCTCACACAGGATTGGAACATGGGTGATGACATCAATAGGAGAAATATTTCCAGCAATAACACACACTCTGTGATTACAAAAAACATATGGATGATGAGATATAGAAAATCCAAAATCCATAATCAACAACACATGATGTTTGTAAATTTTGTATGCAAATGACAAAGAGCAATGCTGCATAGCAACTGTGCAAGTGCAGTATCATGTATGAAAAGTGCAAGCAAAATTCAAATTACATTATTCAAATGAAAAATTTAATGCTGAGAAAAGTTTGCCTGCTGTTACAAGTTGTGATTAGACAATGTCGATATAAAAGCTGAATACACAGATTACCCTAACAATCCAACTCTTTTTATTCCAACCTAGGTCACTTTCAAATTTATGTTAATTCCCTACTGAAGTCTATTTCCCTCACTTATGGTAGCTCTGTTGTCTGGAAGTAGAGCACTGACAGGCAATTACATTATTTGGACAAGAGAGAGGCTCGAATAATTGCCTAGGATTAAAATAAGACTAAACCCTAACTGATTCCCCAATCTTCTCCAATAAATATATGGTGGTGAACAACTTGAAGTTGTACAAATACCTGAATATATTTTCTAACAAAACATTTCCCATTCTCTACTAATATCTAGATTTGTATCCAGGATGGAGGGACAATATAGTGTGACCAAGTCATACTATCTAAAAGCACTCAGACCATAAACGCACGATGCATTAAGCCAGAAATAACCTCTTAAGCCATACATAAGATGTATATGTGTACTAACAATAAATAAGGGAGAAAAGTTGTTCGACTCCAATTTCACGGACCCTATAAGTGAGTAAGCTTGAACCGAGAGTCTTTCAAAAACCATCTCTCTAACTCAGCAGACCACACTTGTGGGATTACACTACATATATTGCATAAATGAGAGCATATAAGAAATCTAAAGCAAAACCTTAAAGTCATTAAAATGGATCATAAAACTACAGATTAATTCCATAAAAATGGAATAAACAGAAAATAATTTGACCTACCCTTTTTGACCTCGTCGAATACTCTTCACCACCTCTTTAACGCCCCTCTTCAAGCATTTTTTCTCAGCAGCTGAGATCAAAACAATAAAGTAAAAGTTCAATAAAATCACAATATTTCAAACATACACAGATACACAACTACTCTAAATATACCTCGCCTAACAAGTTTGAAGATGCGTTTGTTGAGTTTTTTTCCAGCAAGGGGTTTAGCAATAGGGGCTAAAGCAAACACCTTCTTCTTCTCCTTTTGTCCACTCTTCTCTACTTCGCTGTCGCTACCCATTTCTCCCTCCTCTTCTCGTACACCTCTCTGCTTTTTTTTTTCCTTCCTTCTTCTCGAAAGTAAAGCAGCGACTAGGGTTTATGAGGAAGATGAATTTGGCTAATTGCTGCTAGGGTTTAAGCTCTATACTATAGGCCCTATTTAATTGGGCCGCTAGTACATCCATTCAAAATAGCCCAAAACTATTTACACCTAACACAATGGGAAAACTAAGGTCATGACCTATAAAAGTAATGAAAAATTATCTAAATACACAATTTATTTTATTATATTTTTAAAAATCTTTTATCATTTAAATTTTTTAAAAAAAATTTCTACTCTCTCCTATTCTCGGACGCATTAGTTTACGTAATGTATGACTGAATACATCACTTTACTGCGATATATTGGTTTGATACATTATTTTACATGGTATATCAGGACTTTGAGTGATGTATTCGAAATTGAGACGCAATGTATCAGGAGGTTGAGTAATGTATTCAAAATCAAGACGCGATGTATCGGGATGTTTTGGGATGTATTTGGATTCCATCAAAGTAAAGAGATTTTGTAATTTGGAAAAAGAGTAGAGATAAGATGAAATTATATCTTAACACTATGAAATTTGTGTAAAATTCTCAAAAAGCAAACTAATTACAGACATATATCACCTTACAATTATGGCCCTAAAGGGTCGTTTGCTAGAGTGTATAAGAATAATGTTAAATAAAGTGTATTGATTATGCTTGCATTAATAATATATAGATTATTTCTTATGCGTTATTTGGTTTGGTGTATTAAAAATAGAATGCATTACATAAAAAAATATTATTTACAAAGATATCCTCCAAAAGTAAGGTGGAAAAGATGTAAAAATAGTTTTGAGGGGCAATTAAGGTGGAAACGATGTAAAAAAGATTTCTGAGGGGTAATTCAGTCTTTAGCTATCTAATGCATGCATTAGCTTTCTTTTTCATTCATTTTTTCTCAAATCATAATATTGTTTATTTTTTCACCACAATTTAATTTCATGTTTTTGGTCATTCTATATTGCCACTGACTCAAAGTACACCCTAAACATGACATGTCGAATGGGATCTCGAGAGACCCTAAACAAGTCACTTGACATAAGCATGACGTTATGAAATACAATTTAAGAGATATAACTAATATAAGTCTCAAATCATAAGATGATATAAAAGATACCAACAGAGTACATAAGAGACGTGCAAAGTATTATTAAGTCTGACCCAAGCATTTCTAACATCATAAGAGTGGTTGAGACGTAAGTCATACACCACGTAGAAGTCTGAACTGAAAAGACAACCAAAGAACTAAAACATCAAAGGTATTATTGTAACACCTTGAAATTGAAAAGTCAGATTGGAAAGGAAAAGTTCAATTTTTGGCAAAGCAGTGGTGTACGAGTTCAACCTACGGACCGTAGAAAGTCTTACGCGCCGTAGGAAGGGAGTCATATGACTTGGTTTGAATTTCGAAAATGTCAAGTCTCTGATGTTTGACTTACGAGTGAACATGACGAGTCATAGGGTGTTTTATGGGCCATAAGAGGATTTCGTAGAAGTGATCCAGACTTAGTGAAATTCTATACTTTTAAGTTAGGTTTTTACGCAAGAGGTTTACGGACCGTAGAATGATTTTGTGGAAGTTGGCTTTATTTTTGGGTTGCATTAATTGGGTCTACGGTTGACCAGTACGATCCATAGGAAGTCCTATGAATCGTAGGTCCAACTTGTAGGGTCTTCCTACAAATTATAATTATGAGTGTTTTGGTCATTTCCTACCTATCTAGAAAGGAAAATAAAAAAAATCATACATGAACCATCCCAAGACTTACATCAATTAGTAGTTGAGCATCTAATAAAAAATACGAGTACAAGACTTTCACAAATACAAGACAAATATCCAGTCTTTAAATACAATATAAAGACTAAGCCTAGCCAAAACAGACGGAAAGTGGTAGCTCCAGACATCAGGAGCTCACCCTAATCTCCGAAACCCCAAGCTTCTCTGCACAACTCCAAATCAACGACGATAACTCAACTACAATCTACAAGGGGTAGAAGTGTAGTATGAGTGCCAAAACTGTACTTAGTAGACAACGGCCGACTGAGCTCAAAAGATAACACAATCATAAGCAATCAGTAATAAGAAAAACATAACACAAGTAACTAAATAGGAGATACTAAAGTAGACAAGAAATAAAGAATAGAAACAAAAAACAAGGAGTAAGAAGTCGAGTGAAGTACGCACATGGATCGCGAGTCAGCAACCTAATCACAAGCAATTAAGATACCAAGTCAACTACCCAGTGTCAAAAGGACCCACAACCATAATTCTAAAGTCAAAACCTACCATGTAACAGTAAAACAATAGCAGAGAATATAATATAGTGAAACAATAACCTAATCGGATCCCATAGCCCAGAAAGTAAGAGCTTAGAACAAAACAGTGAAAAAATAATCAACACAAACAATACAGGAACAATCTCAAGACCTCACATCAGTTAGTAGTTGAGCATATAATCCAAAATAGGAGTAGAAGGATTTCACAAATACAAGACAAGTATATTGGTGATAGGCAATGCATATGAAAGTAGGGTGAGTAGCAGAACCATCAGTAACCATTCAAACCCCTAACCAGAGGTAACAACCTCAAACAACAAAGCAACAACCTCAGACTAAGAATAACAACCTCGAACCATCAACATCAACCTCAGACCAGAGATAACGGCCTTGAACCATGAGCATCAGCCTCGAACTAGAAGTAAAAACCTTGAACCGTGAGTAACAAATAATGGGTTCACCTACCCAGTCTATAAACTCCCAGGGGCACCAACAAGACCAAAAAAATATAAGAAATGGCGTCGACGCGCCGGGTACTCAAGTAAAACTGAGCAGGTCCCTGACGCTTCGTAATCTCAAAAATCAGTAAGCCAAGTGATCCAGGTTGTACAACTCTCATTGAAGCTAGTTGGGAATAAAAATCGAGTAAAGTAATATCTCATCATGAACGATAAATATGTCAATGCATGGGCTGGGATCATACCACAAAATTCGTGAGAATGATCAAATAATGCAATGCATGCCATCACTAGCATTCAAAAAAGGCACTCAAAATCAGATAATTATACAACGAACGAAACCACTTTACCAAAGCAAAAAGTACTAACCTGGATCCAACTGGTCCTCGCATACGGCCTTGGGCCTAACAGTATAGTCATAAGCTCATTTAAAATCAATAAAAAAGGAGCAAACATAAGGGATGACGCCCTACCACAATCACACTACTCCAGTCCCGGACTGAGCATATCTAGGACCAACCCACGATTATGACGAGCCACCAAGGTCACAAGTATCAACGTAAGAAGAACAACCCAAAACAATCTCTAAAGGGAGAAAACTATAACTACGAGGCGATAAAACACAACTTCAATCATCTAATGTCCAACCTAGTCTAAGGCGATCATGAATCAACCCTAACAAGGATAAGCAAGGTCATTTACACCACAAGCGAATCCATAGTCTAGACTAAGGATCCCGACACCCACAATAAGCCCAAGGCTCATACGAAATCAAGAAAGTATGGAATAACAAGAGGAAAGCTAAGTACCCGACAAATACCATCCAAAATTACATGAATATATACTATGCATTATCTAAGAAGCTCAAGCAAGAAAGTAGACTGAAGCCTACCTTAAATCTAGACACGAGAGCTCTGAATCCATCACACATGAACCATATGCATCCTAAACACCTTGGAACACCGCCAAACAATCAAATTATTGATCACAACGTCATTACAAACATTTTGATGGTAAACTCGCAATAATTGGAAATGGACCCAAAATTGAGTCAAAACAAAAATGTGGGACCCACACTAAGAATCTTGAAATTGGCTCAGTCAAAAGGTCCTAAAATATGCCTTGAACTTGTCTTCCAAAAGTGAACACAATCCGAGGCCCGAAAATAACCACACAACAACATGCCAAATTAATAAGAAAATCAAGCTATGACAGCAACTTTGAGCTCAAATTCACCACAAACTAATGTTCCTCAATAATTTCTAATCACAAACCCAAGTAGACACACTTCCAACGATCACATAGGACTTCGAATCACTCAAATCGAATCTCGGATCAGGTAGAAATTGCCTTTCGAAAATAAGAAATGAAGTCGCAAATTTGTTATATAAAAAGCCGAGATCTGGTAGCTAAAAGTCTATTTCGGGTCGCTAAAAGTCTGATTTCTGATCGCCAAAAGCCTGCAACAAATATCAGCAATTCAACTAGTTTTCTCAAACTCCAAATTCTCCGACGACATATCCGGGGTTTGTTTAGAACCCTGTGCATGCAAAAGAAATATGCTACCCCATTGAATTTAGTATTCCAGAATCAATGGAACCATCAAAGCCTCATCCAAGGCTATTTTGATGAAAAATGGTATCACACCCAAGTTCTGTTTTAAGCTAAAAACTACAAGAAGGCTCAAAATAAGACTGGAAGCCTAGGGAACCGCATGAAAAGTTGTTCTGGATCAAACTCAATATTTTGAAGCTAACTGCGCTGACAGAATTCTCATCCGAGCATGTTTACCAAGAATGTTGACCAAAGTTAACCCTTGGCTTAAGCTTCAAAGTTAAAACGTCTAATGACACAAACTCACACCAAAAGTCTCAGGGCTCGAACCAACCATGCCCCTAGCCTAAATTAAGGCTGGCAAGGGGACGGGGACGGGGACTGGGGGACGGGACGAAGGGGGACGGGACGGGACGGGGGACGGTTCTGGGGGGATTTGGCCGGGACCGGGATTGGGGGAAAAAAAATAAGTCCCATCCCGTCCCACTATATATACGGGATGGGACGGGTTTTGGGGGGACGGGACGGGGGATTTTCTATTTTTTATATACTTATTTATTTGTATTGAAATTATATGTTATTGAATAACATTTTTAGTTTATTTGATTTTTTTTCAATAACATTTTTAGCTAATAAATAATGCTTAAGTTAAAATAAATATGTTCTACAGAAAAGTGTACTATTCATAAGTTATTAAACTCCACTCCCCAACGAAGATGTGATATGGGTAGCAAAATTGGGCACATAATTAATTACTCCATTCTTCTTA